TCTCTCTCTCTCTCTCTCTCTCTCTCTCCTCTCGTTCTCTTTCTCTCTCCAAAATACTATAATAAAGTATTTTTTCATCAAGTACTTTTCGTTATAAGGCTTGAAAGATAGGTGTTGTTCTATCCAATGAAAACAAGATCGGTGGTTGATCTAGCCATGAAGGCAAGATCGGTGATTGATCTAGCCAATGAAGATAAGATCGGTAGTGGATTTAACCAATGAAAGTAAGATCCAAATGAAAACGAAAAACACTTTATTATAGTGTTTTGGGAAGTTCTCGAGATAAGCTACAAAAATGTCTAAAAAATAGGGGTTTTATTTAAAAAAACAAAGTTGATCTTCATACAACCTTGACACGTTCAACCAAGGTCAAACCAATGGTACTATTTTATGTCCCCCTTCGAATAAAACAACTTTTGTTTAAAACGTTTTTGGATACAAGCCTTGGTTTTCGAAAAAAATCAATGCGTCACTTAAAATGGGTCACCCTGTACAACTGTGTAATTACAATTATCATGCAACATATAAATTATTTAATAACACTTACTCTTTTCCGATTAGGTTTTGAAATGCCCTTTAAATTATTCATGTCCTCCGTTATCTATAATAAATATAAAGTTGTCTATTTTAAATTATATATAAAATTGTTTAAAAATCTCGTTTAATTACATACGTATAATCATATAATTAATAACTGATTAAGTAATTATTATAATCCTGTATTTATGATTATAAGTATGTATATATTTTACATATATTTTCTTTTATACATGCACATGCGTGACATTTAGTAAAAACAAAATGCATTCTTTCTTTTATAATATACCTGTCAAATTTTATCAAATGTATATAAATAGCAACATTGAAACTCAAATGATCATATGAATTAATATGACTATATAAATTATATTAGACAATGAAATTGTTATACCCAAAATTCTTTGTATTCCGGTGATACACTTTCTAAATACAATATTTTGTCTTCAATATTTTTTAACCTTTCGTAAATATCTTTAGGCACTGGCTTGTTAATCCCAATCATATGTTCTGTCGCAGAAATTCTGTCATCTAATATAGGGAAACAGCTTGAAGTGTTGGAGCTTGTATTATTCGTAACAGACTTGCGTAAAATTGATTGATTGATAGTTTGAGGTCCCCATATGTTTAATACTCTGTGAACTAAAAATAATTATAAAGATATGTTTAATTATTTGATTAAACGGTTTTGCGTATTTCCTTAATGAATCGAAAAAGAATAATAGAACTGAAGTAAACTTATATTCAATATCACGATTAAAAGCCCCATTAAGTTCAATTAAGTATATACATATGTATAATAGAATTTTGTTTATATGTCATAAAATCATATATCACGCACATTAGTAATGTTACAAACTTTTGATGTAATTTAGATTTATAAAAAGAAAACTAGGATTACATTAATTATTCTAAAACCCAATAAATTTTATACAAATCTTCGAACAAAATATACTAGTTCTATAAATGAGATTGTAAAATATATAAAATCTCATATAACGAATCAAAAAATGTATGTAGTAATTAATGAAAAGAATATGAACTATTGAATATTGATACAGAATGAATAAAATAATACAACAAACCAATACAAAATCGCGCGAGCCATAAAACGTATTAAATTGCATTTTATTTTGTGTTATTACCTTTTACATGACTTTTGGAATCTTTGCGTCGAATAAGAATGGCATCTACTCTTGCACAAGAATTTTCGTTAATACCACTCTTTTCACTGTAGATACATCATTACAATTAATTAATTTCAAAAATTTCAATTTTTAATTTTATTATATATACATATTATAATTATATAATGAAAGCAATGTTTAGTATAATCAAACAGAGGTAAATTTATTTCAGTGTTAATAATGAACTGACCTGTGGCAAAATTCTTGTACATTCACAGTATTTACTTGCTGACGTTTTCTTTCGATAAATGATTCTATTCTATGATTCAGTTCTTCAGAACTTGCTCGAATTTGTATCAAATTGAGATCAATAACGTCTTTATTTAGTACTTTGTCATAGATATCTGTAGGTACCTGTGCATCTTTTTTCTTCAAAACTGTAGATTTAATAACATTTTCTATTTCTAATCTGTTATTGCTAATTGATATATTATGTTAACTGAATTGATATGCTATATTAACTGAATAAAGATGTATTGTATTAATAGTTTTATGTTACACTGGTCAAAAAAATTAACGCAACAAGAAATTTACATCAAAATTTATTTCAAATAGGCGTAACTTCGCGAAAACTGGTCGAATTGAAAAGTTTTTTTTTCATTTTATAGGGCAAAGCCTCTGCTTTAAGAAGCTCTTATTGAAATTTACATTCACTCTTCCCATTTCCCGAAACTTTCTTAAAATCATGACCATGTTTTTTCTTTAAAAAATTGCACACTTTGACGCACTGTGCGGAGTGTAGTAATTTTTCTTCGCCAGTTCTGCTTACGGTATCAGAAAGTGTATATTTTTCTCTTCAATTTAAAAAAAAAGAAGTTCCTACGATGTTTTTTCGCCAAATCACAGCTCATTGAAATAACCCTTGTGTTTTCGACATTACCGATATCTCCGTTAAAAATCATCGTAGCAAGATCGTTTTTCTTTTAAATTAAAGCTTGCACTTTCAGCTTCAAAAACTAGTCACCAGATTTTTCCTCGAATACATCTGCGCTGCTGTAGCTTTTAAAATGTAAGGACATGTTTTTACCTAAAAACTAACCAACTTTGGCCAGGTGCCCGGGCGTAGGAAATTTTTCCTTGCTAATTCTGCTCGAAGTATCAAAAAGTGTGTACTTTTCCCTTCAATTT